GTTCTCTTTTGTTCATCAGAGAGGAAGAGAGAATCAAGAGGTTAGAAAGAGGTGAGCGGCGCTTAGGAAAATGAGTAAGGGTTTCATTTTTTGGCAAAAGACCAAAACACCCTCCTATTTTTCGACTAATTACAAGCTTCCACTCTCGTATTGCTTCCGTGAAATCCAAAAAAAATTATGCCATGTGAAGTCTTGAACCAGAGACCCTGACCTCGCTAATTGTTTCAATTCAGGGCAATCAACCACTAAGTTTTGCTATCATACTTAAAGCTTTAATCTCCTCGTTTCTTTTTGTTTGTGTTTAATGCGATATTTGTGTCGACTTGTTGTGCTAGGGTTTATACTTTAACAAGAATGAATGCTTCTGAACATTTCAAAATATTAAAAACCTTTGTTACCACATTCACTTTGGCTTCATTAGTCATACCCATACTCGTTTTACTTAGAAAATATCTTAATACGAAATCATGATAAACAAACCGTAATAGTTACTCTCGATGGAATCATTTGAAAGATGGTTTTACCATTCAACTAATAAGTTGAAACATCATAAATACATTACCTAACAACTCAAATTATCATCTTAGCCACGATAGGTGTGAAGATCGCTTCTACAAAACAAATCATTTTAACCGAACTACGTGGACTTTGATCCCGACTACTCGGGTACGTAGGCAACCAATATGTTTCAAGTCCAACTAAAAAAATTTCTTCACATTTCAACATGCGAGACTCAACATTTAAAATCTCTCAGTTTTAAACGAACTACGTGGACTTTGATCCCGACTAATCGAGTACGTAGGCAACCATTAGGTTCGAGTCCAACTAATCAAAAACTCTTTCTTTAATTTTGAGAATTACGTCAATAGATGTATGATCAACTCATTATTATAAATACCTAACTATTAGAATCCTTTAATTAAATACATAATAAACCGCAAATAATGATACACCCATCCCTAAAAAAACTTATCGATTTAAGTAGTACCCATTTGGGGCGTTGTGGGGTGTGAATACACTTCCCCACACGTAACCGTACTCCCGAACCCAAAATCTCAAAATTTCGCAGACCAAATCCCGGTGTCGACCCTAAGGTCGAGACCGGACCCAAAAGGTGCTCGATCCACCACAATTAAGATCGATGGTGACTCCGATCATTTCGCGACGGATCCCTCGATCTCGAGGGGCGGTTGGGACACTATCGATCGCACCAACATACTAACAAACCCACTTCTTCACTACAAAAGACTTATGAAAAATTGCATAACCAGCCTCCTAATCTTTGATGACACCTAAATTGGTGCTATTTATCCTTCATATTTTGGGTTGTTTCGTGCTAATTCATGTTCATAATCAGAAGAATATCATTGATTGCATCCATATTTCATTCCTATTTTAGTATGTCGTGATTTTAGGGTGCTTTGAAGATATTTGTGAATTAGATACGAAAAAGGGCACAAGTGTAGTGAAATGGGCAGGAAACTGAAGATCACAACCTGGACGTGAAAGATCTTGGTAGAGACATCAGACCGCGAAGCAGGAGAGAAGATCGCAGCCTGAGGACCATAGTTCGCGGCCACGAAAATGGATCCCTAACGCACAAACTTTGTGAGGAAGCCACCCAAGAGAAAACATAAACTTTCGACGGTCGAATCATGGTCACCGTCTTCCTGACCGCGAGGAAGTTCACATTTGCGACTCACGGATCGCGACCGTCAAGTCAGCCCGCAAACTCCTAGAAGACGAAGACCAAAACGACGAGGCCTGAATATCGCGGGCTCGAAGAGGAAAGATCCCGAGTCCCGACCACGATCTTCCCTTGCTCGGCCGCAAACTTGTCTGTCCCCCTAAAGTCTATAAATTGAGGACCTCTTCCCCCATTTTAAGAGAGCTGATTTTGAGACAAAAAAAATTTAGTTTAGAGAGAGAGAAGAGAGAGAATCTGAAGGAGGGAGAAGAGGATAAGAAGGAGCAAGAGGAGAATCAAGAGGAGAGAAGTCATCTTCTTTAACATCAAGCCTTCCCCAAATTATTTTATGTATCTTCTTCCCTACTTTATGGAGCAGTCTCTTAAGGTACTAGGGGTTCTACACCCCAAACCCTAGTTTCAGGGCTATTATATAATTAATGAATATGTTAGGATTTTGAATGAATGTGTTTGTCTTGTTGATTTTAATGCTTATCTAGCTTTAATTATGCTTGGATAAGTCGCCCTAATCTTCTTTACTAGCCTACTTGAGCTTCTACGTTAGGTATTGAGTTTTGAGGTTAGACGGGTATGTGCCATATGGCAAATTAGGGTCAGATGAATGAATATGGTCTTGTGGTGGACGAGGCGACCGAACCCCTGCTACAAGAACGCCTTCCTAGATGGAACATGGGATGAAACCTCTTCTATGTATGTGATGCATTCGAGCTTGTTGGGCCATGTTGGCTTTTTGTTACTTTTCATTATTATTATTACTTATTTTTACAAAAAGTTTAGGGAGCAATCGAGACAATCTGGTCCACCACTCCCTTAACAATAGCAAAGCTAAGTTTAGTAAAAATGTACGTGGTCGCCCGAGCACCCACATACTGAGACACGGAGAATTTATGGATCTGCCAAAGCAAAGCAATAGTGTTTGTATCCAACTCACCTAGCAAAGAAAAAGAAAAGGGCAGGAAACCATAACCAACCGCCATGCATAAGTCCCGATACTTGACATGCTTTAGTTGAGAAGCATTAGCAATAACTTGGCCCGACACAAAACTAGTCATCCCAATATAAGTCAAAGGTTAAGACCCAATCAGATCGACACACATCTCACCAGTTATCCCAGGAATAACGATTAGGAAGTAAAATTATAATATAGTACCTAAACTTATAACAGTACTGCTAACTAACTCTGCAATCTATCCTAACAAGTCCTAAACTATGAAGAGTCTTCATTCTGGTCCTCCAACGCTCTTGTACTCTTCCTCATTGTCGCTTCCACGTGGATGTATCTAGCTGAAACTTTCAAGACCAATAGTGTCACATAAAAAGAAACAGGCAACACTTCTGTCATGTGTCATAAAAATGTCACATAAAATAGAAATAGGCAACACTTTCGTTATGTGACATGTAATATATATCTTTTGTAACACAAGTTAGTAACATAAAAAATTTAGAATCTTAATCATCATGAATTCTTGCATAATTCTCTTACAAAAAATTCACCGCTATTGTAAAAATAAGTGTCTTTCACGAACAATTTTCTCTAGTAGGAATTTAATTTCTTCTAATTAATTTAACTTATTAACCAGCTCATTTCAAGAACCATTATGTAACATTTTTTATAACGTCAATTAACTTATTAGCTTAATAGGTAGTTTAGAAACTAGTTAATTTAACTTATTTACCAGCTCATTTCAAGAACAATTATGTAACAACTTTTATAACGTCAATTAACTTATTAGCTTAATAGGTAGTTTAAAACTCCTATTCGCATCATTTTCCTCCCATAATTTAAGCTGGCCGCCTTATGCCCTTATACTAACTCCAAGAAATGTCCTCCAGGATTGAAATCCTTAATTAGGTGCGCACCAAGCTCACGAGTCGGGTTAATCTTATCATCTAGATAAATAAGTATATTTCAATTAATAATAAGTTATTAATTATTTGGATGTCATCGATACAGGCAGCGTTAGGTACTCAACTACTCATATAGCTAGCTTGTAAGATACAGAAGTGAAATGGTATACTTTAAAATATTGTCTGCTATATTATGAGTTCATCCAATGTGATGAATATTATCGAGAGAATAAGTTGCTAACATTTTTTAAAACACACTACAAATTTTATAAAAAATGTCAGAAATTTAATAAAGTATATCACAAGTTTTTCAAACCATGTAAGAAACCTCATAAGAGTGGACCGATTTGTAAATTTTAAAAATTTCAAGTACCAAAATGCAAAATAAAAATTTTAGGTACTGAAATATAATTTTTTATCAATATTTTAGGACTTATATGTAAAATTTTTAAATTTAGACACTAAATATTATGATTTATTAAGTTTATGCACAAAACTGTAATTTGTATATAAAACTGAATGAAAGTAACACAGAGGAAGGGGAAATAGAGAATGATAGTTACTATAATACGCTTATTAAAAGTATTAGTATGGTGTTAACACTAAGAGGTGTTAGCACTCTATCTCCTCCCGTATTGACGTATTGTACACATCTTGTGTGCTTAAAAGTCCAATGTACTATTGATAAAAGAAAGTTAACAGTACTAAACAAAATTATTTAATTGATATAGTGAAACATCTTAATTCTTTCTCGGTTAAGATATTGTCATCTTACTTCACGCGATTTTGTTTTTAATGATCATATGATAACTTTTTCAAAATTCATTTATCTTTGTAATGTTTTATCTTGAGGTCTGATGAATCGTAACTTTAGAGTCCTTACAAAAATTCATCCATTTCATCTCAAAATGCATCTCCTCAGTTACCATGTAATTGTTTTTTATGAAACACTAATCTCTCTTGTACAATTGATTTGGGATATATGGTTATGGTTAAATAAACCAGAAATTTCTAATATATATATAACATATAAGAGCAAACAATGGGGCACTGTAGCATTCACTATTAGGGAGAGAAATAACTTGTTACAGGGCAACATACATAGTTCTTTTTTTAAAATACATAATAATAATAATAATTCTATTTTGGCGGCATATGACTACCATTTTCCTGTGGGAAAGGAATTAATGTCACTTAATTATTACAGCCGTGCAAAGAAAAAAGAGGCCTATGTTCGTCAAGAGATCGACATTATACATCTGGTTAACTAGTTTCCTTGTATATATTCATAATTCTAAGACAGGGTCATATATAATATATCATAGACATGCAGAAGGGAAAGCCGGTAGTTATGGAGTCATCACAAATAGTGGAAGATTGCGGTGGAGTTGTCCAGCTCTTTAGCGACGGCACCGTTTTCCGCCTCAAAGACATCGACTTCCAGATGGCTGTCGTCGACGACCAATCCGTCATCCACAAGGATTGCCTCTTCGACGAAACCCACGACCTCCGCCTCCGCCTCTACAAACCCACGACCTCGCCGCCGCCTCCCGGCCGCGAGAAGTTGCCCGTCCTTTTCTACTTTCACGGCGGCGGATTCGTGGTTGGTTCCCGCGAGTGGCCCAACTGCCACAACACCTGCCAGCGCCTCGCTTCGGGGCTCCAGGCGGTAGTGGTGGCACCCGACTACCGGCTGGCGCCCGAGCACCGGCTCCCTGCCGCCGTGGATGACGGGGTCGCTGCCGTGAAATGGCTGCAGTCCAAGGCCGTGGAGGAAGGGGAGGAATGGTTGAGCAGCGTTGACTTGGACCGTGTTTACGTGCTGGGCGACTCGTCCGGAGGGAACATGGCGCACCATCTGGCGGTTGGGCTCGGAGCGGGGTCCACGGGTTTCGACCCGGTTCGGGTACGAGGTTATATACTATTGGCGCCCTTTTTCGGTGGGATAGTCAGGACCGAGTCAGAGGAAGGGCCCGCTGAGAAATTGCTTAGACCATCCACATTCATGAAATGCCATTTCTATTCCATATGTGGCCCCTACGGCCACATCAACAGCTTTTTTCATTTCACTACATATCACTTCCATTTTCTCTACATCCATGAAATCCACTATCTATTTCATATGGTGGGTCCAGCTTACTTTATAACTACCAACACAAATATAATTTCTCCCAACCCACACAAAACAACTCATACAAAAGAAAATAAAAAAAGCACATAAAGTGGGGTGGGACCCAATCGGTACCCACTATCCATTCCATTTGCTCTTCCATTATATGGAAGCTGTCATTATATGGAAGTGGGGCTGCAACCATGAAATAGGCAGCACCCCATGCCACGTCAAAATGGAAGAAGGAAATGGCAGCCGATGCTGCTGCTCTTAGCTTGGAGATCCTTGACAGGTACAGTGTGAATCAAAACATATATTTATACTGGTTAAAATTGCGCTTTAAAATGTAAATTCGTTTTTAGGTCACTAAAACGCTTCTACACAAAATCTCAGTTTTTATAACTTATGTAGTTAAAAACTCTGCTTAAAAACTTAAAAACTTACGATTTTACGCTTCTAGATCACCAAAACGTTTCTACGTAGAAACTCGCTTTTGACTACATTGCTCTTAAGTAAGATAAATTGTCAGGTAATCAAATTACTACCTAAAAATTATCATGCTTTTCAAAACATTTGAAAATAATTATGAAATTTGTTTATGAATGATATCTAAGGTAAAGTTATCAGGATCGGTATTGAGACGGTACTGGCCGTGGCGGATACATGGCACTTTTGGGAACACGATTTTTTCACTCTCGATAGTAGTTTGCATATTGGTGAAAAAAATTAAAATGATAGTGGGACACTCTTAAAATTTGGAAAAATGATTATTCAACACCCATTCGTAATTTACGTATGTGTAAATAAAAACGTTTAAGTGGTAGTTTATGTGATTTGAACTTGGATCACTACTATTATTAGGAAACATATTTTTTATTAGACCACAACTCATTTTTTTTGTATTTTAAATCCAAATATACTAGCAAAAAGTCATTCATTATCCCAAATTATTTTCAAAAGCTAACGATTAAACTCAATTACGGACTCCCTTTGTCTTGTAGGATATATGGAGAGAGATTTGTTGAGCATTGTTAGACACCGTTGGTATTTTACAATTTTTTCAGAATACGAAACATGTCATGTGCTTTGTTGTATTTTGTACAAGTCGGATATTTTCTTATTTAATAATTATTAATTTAATAATTTAATTAATTCTTCAAAATATAAGAGTTTTAACCATGCATAGAATTAAGTTCTATTGTGGACTATTATGTTTGATTATAAGTCTCAAAATATAAAATTGATTTTTGTGTTAGTTGATTTTATGAGGCCGGTTCACTAGTAAATTAATTTTTAATCAAGAGACCCATATAAAGGGGACAAACCCAAACTAAAAATATGTAAGGAACAAAGATTTTTCATTTGAAAATAAGTTGGGCTAGAAACTTCGATTTAGTATTCCTTTTTTCCGTTGAACGACCTTCTAATCAACAATATTTTGCTTACTTTTTGTGCATGATATGATACCTGTTAGATTTTGGAGGCTGAGTTTGCCGATTGGAGAGAACAGAGACCATCCTTTGGCGAACCCATTTGGGCCTGGCAGCCCAGACCTAGAGCAGAAACAAATGGATCCTATGTTAGTGATAGTTGGAGGCTGTGAATTGTTGAGAGATCGGGTCCACGACTACGCTACGAGGCTGAAACAGATGGGCAAGAAAGTTGAGTACATGGAAATTGAAGGACAAGAACATGGTTTCTTCACAAACCAACCATACTCTGAATCTTCTCATGATTTTATTGGACTTGTCAGGGGATTCATGTCTCAGAATTCTACGGATGATCAACAAGTATAAGAAGAACAACTTTACTATTATATATATTTTATGGAGCTTTCTATGTCCTTACTATCACTATGTAATCAATCATATCTAATTCTCTTCACTGTTGGCCATATTATAAATTAGGGTATGCCTACTATGACATGCATGTCACCGTGACATGGATTTTTCGGTCGACCTAATCCTGAAGGCGGTCGGCCGAATTGACTAATTTGGGCAGCACGAGAAAACATTGCGGTCGACCTCAAAGACCACCTGGTCGACCGCACTTAGTTTAAGTTGTTATTTTTGGTCGACCAGAATAAAACCTCGGTCGGCCATTTCGTTGGCGTTAGAAACAACATGGTCGACCGTAAAAGTATATAGGTCGACCACTTGATGGCAGTCATTAACAAAATGGTAGACCAAATAAGGAAAGAGGTCGACCAGATAGAAGATAAGTGTTCTATCAATGTGTCCAATCATTTGACGTAAAATGAAGATCAAGTGTTGATTTCGAGGTCGACCTAATCCGGTACGAGGTCGACCGAATACAAGAAAGTCAACCTATGCCCCGTGTCTTTTTTGCTTATGTATGTCGATTTGTGTGGTTCTTTTGCTCGTATAAATTATGTTTCAAACCATCATAAATAGTCATAAATAATGATAACAAGGACTCATCAATTCATAGCATAACAACTAAACAAACTAACAATAAATACAATAAAACAGAAATCATAATTGTTCACACATAAAAAAAAACTAAAACAACAAAATAACAATCAGCAATCGTTTTGACCATTTAACAATAAAAACACACAATCTAAAATCTTCGAGTTCCTACTCATGTCCCCTCTCTCCCTCATCCACATTTTTTTCGTATTTATAGAGATTTAGGACGTGAATGGGTCGACCCAATTTGTTTTCTTGTCCAATTGTGGAACCTTTCTGCTGTTGGAATCCTTATCCAATACGGATACGGTGTGCATGCGGTCGACCTCTTACTAATGAGGTCGACCTGATAGGTGCACAAGGGTTGGCCTATAAGGTATTTGGGTCGACCTTTCATTCTGTTATACCATCAAAGAGGTCGACCATTTTATGTAGACGGTCGACCGCTTCTATGAACCTCACATAACTGAATTTGTCAATTCGATCGACCGCCTTGAGGATTAGGTCGACCGAAAAGTCTTGTCACCGTAGCAAAATCCTATAAATTATATATTATAAAATACCTATTCGAAGCAAATCTTTGGCCGTTGTTACCATTCTTACTTGTTTTTTTCTTTTTCTTTTTTAGTTTTTTTCATTTTGGTTGTTATGAGTGTTGAAATTGGTTGAAGGGGAATTAGTTATAGTTACGCAGACGGAAAAGAGTTTGTCTTATGCGTGGTTTGTTTGTTTTATTTTTCCATAATTGATTTAAGTGTTAATGAACAAGAGAGGACGGAAACAAGAAGAATTATGCCGCCTACTAATTCTGGGGTTTGGATATGCCGCTGACACAACTTCTCTCGGAGACGCGTTTATCAAAGTCCTGTATATTCAATTTGCCAGATTCCAGCAAACCATATATTCAGGTTCAAGATAGGGACCGGTTAGTATAACAACACCAATTGTGTTGTTATTGTAACAACACTAGTCCCCAACCAATAGGAAGCTAGGATTGTGATGACTTTTTATTAGATGAGTTGACCTAGTGTAAAATTAAAGCAGGGGTATAATTGTCATTATGAAAAATCTATTTAAATAATCAATAATTTTTTTTTTTTATTTTCTGCCCAAAAATTTGGTCGCCGAAATTCTGCCACCGGTCGCCGGAAAATGGTCGCCGGTCACCGGAATATGCTATTTGTGGTCGGAATATGCTATTTGTGGCCGGAATATGCTTACCGGCGTCGGAATCTAGTCATCGGGGCCGGAATATGCCTATCGGCGTCGGAATCTGCTCACTGACGGTCACCGGAGTTCGGTCAACGGTCTTCGTTGACCGGTCAACGGTCAACAATCACCGGATGTTATGGTTAGCATTGTGAGATTTATGGTTTGGTTTCTCATATTTTTTTATGCCTTTTGTGGTTTGCTTTATCGTGTTTGTGGTTTGCATTGAGAAGTTTCTGGTTTGCTTTCAAAAACTTTGTGGTTTGCATTGTGAGGTTTCTGGTTTGTTTTAATATATTTGTGGTCTGCATTAGAACGTTTATGGTTTGTTTTTTTTGTTTGATTTACTGCGTTTGTGGTTTGCATTAGGAGGTTTTTTATGTGCTTTCGCAAATGTTGTGGTTTGCTTTGTGAGGTTTGTGGTTTGTTTTAGGAGATTTATGGCATGCATTAGGAGGTTTATGGTTTGCTTTAGTGGTTTGCATTAGAAGGTTTCTGGTTGCTTTTGAAAATTCTGTGGTTTGGTTTGTGAGATTTCTGGTTTGTTTTAATAGAGTTGTGTTCTGCATTAGGAAGAATCTGGTTGTTTTATATGGTTTGCTTTGTCGTGTTTGTGGTTTGCATTATGTAGTTTTTGGTGTGCTTTTGAAAATTTTATGGTTTGCTTTGTTTGATTTCTGGTATGTTTTATCACATTTATGATTTGTATTAGGAGGTTTCTAGTGTGTTTTAGAACTATGTATATATGATTTGTATTAAGAGGTTTCTAGTGTGCTTTAGAACTATTTGTCGAAACATAGTGTTGAAAGCAGAACCTGTGTATATATATCCCTTTTGTTTCTGTAAAATGTAAATAGTCTCATCAGGGTAGTGATTGTTAGGCATAAGTTTCTTGGTTAAGTAGTGTCCATGCGACACACATGTTTAATAAATTTGTTCATTCCCTTTTGTACATGTAATTAGGTACCTAAAGTGTTGTTGGAAATCATCACGAACGTGAAAAAGGTCATGATATACTGGATGACGAATAGACATAGGATTATCAATGGAAGGTCGGCTAGAAAATAAGAAAATAAGTGTTTTCCTTTGTTTCTGATTAACAACAGCATCGGGGGCATAGCCCGTAGAAACGGCGGAGCGTTGGGACATTAGGGTTGCTGATTAAGAACAGCAACCGGTCGAGTTCCTCCTTCTGAAAATCACCATCCACCATTGAGACACAGAAACAGTCAATTGCTGCCACAGGTGTATCGGAATCCGGCCGCGGCGGCAGCAGCTTCTTGAAACTGGAGGTAACGAAGCTGCGGAACCAACTCTTGTTTGATTTTGTGGTGTCGCCAACGGGGGAATCAAGAGCAATAGCTTTGATCCGCGCTTGATGAGCCACAAGTTCCCGCCGCGGCATCGGACGCCGCTCCATCTGGCTGCCAAGCTGGGGAAGTGAGATATGGTGCAGGAGCTTCTCAAGAACATGAGCATCGCCGACCTCGAGCTCTAGGACGCTGGCGGCAACACGACGCTGCACTTCGCGGCGTCGAGCGGCAGCAGCAGCTGGCCGAGCACATGGTGCAGATGTACAGGGAGATAGGCGCACGTGTGGCTGTGATTGGAAATTTATTTTGTTAATTTTAATTTGTTATTTTGTGTTAGTTTACCCTTTTACCCTTAATGAATCTTGTTGTTAGTATAACAACACTAAGAGTGTTGTTATACTATACGCTCCCTTCAAGATGGCATGCATAACTAAATCTGGCCCCTTCATTTAGAAAATCCAGATTTAAGGATGGAGAATTAAATGTTATTTTTATTTTTTCTAGTTTTCTTAATCGGCTCATATCTTCTTCGTTTTAACTCGGATTTTAATTTTTTTTTTTTTGCACAGATGGAAAGAGTTCGCTGTGCTCTACAAAATGAGATCCATTTTAAATATTTTTTAAGAAATAAAATTTCTTGCCTCTCGGTACCAACTGCATACCATATGGTATTTTCTTCGTTTTTAATTCGTTTTTGAAAACGTTTGCGCAGAAGGAACGAGTTCATCATGATCTATTTGATCTATAAATTTCTGGATGAACAAATTAGAGGATCAAAAAATACCACACAATACCATACAATACCACCCTGGTATGGGGTGGTATCTTGTGGTACACAATGTTAAAAGTCATAAATGACAGTTAATATACTTCTACTATCATGTATTTAATCATCCTACAGTCTTGGTTTGTTCATACCACCATGGTACATTTTTCTAACCATAGGTATGCTCTTATTTCAATACCAGTCAATACCATATGGTATAGACTGGTAAAAAATGACTCAATTTTTTTTGTTCGAAAAATATATCAAAGTGGATATCATTTTGAAGAGCACAATTAATATGATCTAACTATGCAAAAAAATTAAATTTCGACTTAAAACGAGTGAGAAATCGTCCGTCAAAGATTAAGGAGGGGAAAATTAAAGGCTTTCTACGAGAGAGAGGGATGCTGATGTCATGCTGATGTGGACGGGTTACTCATGATTACTCACCATAAGGTTACTGACCTGCTCTGTTCCCATATCTTCAATTTGATAACCACGCCTGTCTCTTCGTTGCGAGGGATCTAAAAATCAAAATATATTAGGGTTGAAAAAATAAAAACCTCCTGCTTTTGTGGTCGAGCTAGCGGCTATTCCGATGGCGGGAGAGTTGTCTCTCTTTGCCGCCATGCACTCTTCTGGCGGCAGGCATGGGAGGCAGCTGGGCATATGTCTTTGTCGTGTGACGGTTACCGTAAGTGGGGTTGCGGTTACCGCCTTACAGTAATTGAGAATTTTCATCGCCAGCGGTTATGGATTTGGAGATCGACCCGGAGATTCTGTTGGTCGACGTGCGGTGGGGTTATGAAATCGACGCGACAGTGCGGGGTTCTTCTGATCGACACACTGAAGAGGGATTATATAGATGGTGGCGGCGTGGGGATGCGGAGATTGATATGGCAGCGACTCTGAAGATCATTGCGCTGGCTGGTGGAGGATTTTGCAGATCGAGATGAAGGTGAGGATTCTAAGACCGACGCGGTGCAGGATTCTACAGAAGGACGTCGGGGAATTTGATTGGAGTTTCAAGAGTAGGAGTAGGAAAAGAAAGTCTGCAATCCATGATTCAAACTTTG